AAAGGAAGAAGGGAGAGGAAGGGAAAGAAGGAAGCAGAAACAGGAAGGGAAGAGGAGAGAGGAGAGAAGGCGAAGGAAGGAAGGGGAGGAGAGGAGAGGGGAGCCGAGGAGGGCGGCAGGGGAGCCGGGGGCAGGCCCTGCCTCTTCCATTTTCCCACCTCCCCACCCCGGCTCATTCTACATACTGAGGTAGACATTTGAACAACAGTTCTGACTGATAAGTGGTGATTTAAAGCAAAACCTCAAGGTGGAAGGGTGTGCACGATCCATCGGCTCACTGTCATGCTTGACTGGCACCCTCAGGAGACTCACAGAGGGGTCCACAAAGCAGGAGGACTCCTCTGTCCCAGAGGTTCCCCAAACCACAGCCCGCTGCTCGTCTTCCAGAGTCTCCAGCAAGCTGGGACTGTGCTCTGGGGGCCACCCACTCTCCTGCCCGCTCTCCTGCCAGCTCTGTCTGACTGGGACACCCTTTTGTCCCCTTCCCAGGGGCTTCTCACCTTGCTCCTCTTCACCCAGTGACCAGTGCGGGCTGCCAATAGGCAGTAAATGTGACCCTAATCCTCTGTTGGTCTTGACTAGCTGGGGCAGAATACATGGCCATGTCTGCGTACACAGCGGGCAAGATGCATCCTTAGAAGTGGTGGTGCCAGGGGGCAGGGGAAGCAAACCTCCCATGATGATAATCGCCTGGGGGAAGGGACTACCCTCAGGCTTGCTGAATGGAACCCACAGCCTTACAAAAGACGGGCTTTCTCCCAGGGAGCAGGAAGAGAACAAATACATTTAAAATTCCATATGTGACCTTCCCTCCTCTCTGAACAGCGAGAACACATAAAATACAGTGCATTCACCTTGTTATGGATGTGGAGAGAGACAGGAAGAGATGCAGCTATGTTAGATTGTTAAAGACTCTTCTAAGAACTGCGTTTTACAGCCCTTTTCATTGCATGCCGTCACGAGAGAATGCTAATTTAACGATGACACATTTCTCAGGGACAATACATATTAGAATTAGCTCACATTCAACGCCACCACTCAAATTGACTACAGGAATAACGCTCACATTTTGTAGACCACTGCATTCAGCTCATTCTCAGCAACCTTCCATTTATGTATCTCAGGAGGAAATTGTGTGGACTGGAGTAGAGACAATATATTGTTGTTGCTGTTCTGTTTTTGGTTTTAAAAATTACCTTAAATGTATTACCAGTGGTGAAATATGCATGGAGTTTAATGTATGCTTGAAAGGAAATGATTAGCAGAGGACTGACAGCTAAATACTACAGGCAAGGGTTTCATGAAAGTGGAGGTACATCGTATTTTGACTGATTCTTTTTTCTATATTGATTTGAGATTCTTTAAATACTCATAATCATTCCAAAGATGTTTGGTTTTTGGCTAAATAGGAAAAGGGAGAAGTTGGTATCACTCACCCAGTATGCTGGAGAGGAAACCAATTTCTACAGTATCACTTTTTTTGGTGGGGGCCAGGGGTGTACAGTAGCTTTTTGAACTTAGCTAATGGCCCTTGGGTAAAAATAATTACCTTTTATTGTAAAAGTGTAGATAAACTAAAATTATTGTTGGCTTCCCACGTACTATATTTTTTCCAATTGTCTTCTAGCAAAACAATGCTAACGTTGTGTTTAGCTGTGCCCTGCCAAGTCAAGCTTTCTCTCAGACTAGCTCAGCCCCTCTCTGGCTATGAGTGACAACCATTTTCATGCCACTTCAGGACCACAACTGTCACTGCAACTCTTGGTGCCAAAATTTCTAAAATCCATCCTGGCTTCTGGTCCTCACAGTACTTTCCAGGATTTAAACAAAAAAGGTGGCCTCTCAAATGAGTTGGAAAAGACTATGGATAAGCAGATTCTCAAAGCAAGGGCTAATCCATCCATACAACATTTTGTGGAAAACAGCCCAATTGACAGCTTGCATCTTTTTAAAGAATGTCAAGACAGAAACCCAAAAGGAGTAAGTCTTCTCAACCACTAGGGGGCTCCATTTGACCACAACCTATATCAGTGGCAAATGAGTGACGATTATTCTTCACTGTTTACCCATTTACAAAGGCGATTTTCCACAATCAAAATAGGCCCATTGTAGTTGTCAGGAAGCACATGGTAACTAAAGCAGGGCCCTTGCCTTAATAACAGGCAACTACTCTTTCAAAATGAGAACTAAATTTGAACTTTATAATACCAAGAACAACTGGAATACCAAGCTTTATAACAATAATAATACCAAGAACAAAAAGACTAATTTTTAATTTAACTATACCAACAATTGCTGACTTCATGGCTAAAGTTCCTCTAGGAACAATCATTTCCAGATAATTAGGCAACACAATGTTTCCTCAAATCTCCATATTGCTTTCCTCAGTGGTTTGGAAATTCAGGGATGTGAATGGAAATACTTCAACAAGGTCTAACATTCCAAGAAAGTTTTCCCAAGTAAGAAGAATCATAGTCTTTTGAAGACTATCTTCACTCTGTGGCTTCCTCAATACATCCATTATTTCACAATGTGAGTAAAACACTTATTTCTCTTTATAAGACATCTACTGTGCTGATCAAAGGCCAATATCATGGAATTCTTGACCCCAAGGGAATTTATGCATTAGCTGAGTTGAAGACTCTTTCATAATACCTTTATATCTGTATGTCCAAAGTGTCTCGACAGTTTTGTTTTATGTATGGAGAAAAAAATCCCCAAAAAAGCAAGTTACTTACTTCTTGATATATATACATTTCTGAAGAGTCTCTATTTTTACATCTGATGCATCAACAATCAGAGCAAAAGCTAAGGAGTGTCATTTAGGCTGGTGGAATCATGCACTGATTAGATTGCTGTCTGATTACTCCTTGTATGAAATAGCTATGAAATATCATTAATTTTATGCTTTAAAATGCTGTGCTTCAGATAACATAACTTATCTGACGATCACATTACACCTTGCCCTTTTTTCAGAAAGTTTTGTGATAGCCATTCGCCAAAGGTTCTGAATGCTCTTTTGAGTTATGAAGAATACCAGATGGAACATGGAGGAGGATTTTTAGGGCAGTATTTATAGTATAGGATATATACTATATTGTACATGATGTATTTAGTATAGGCTACTGTAAGAATGGACACTTGTCATTATACGTATGTCCAGTTTATAGAAAGTACAGCTCCAGAATGGACCCTAATGTCAGCTATGGGCTTTGGATAATTATGATGGGTCAGCGTAGGTCCATCAGTAATAAATGTACCATTTTGTAGAGGATATTGATAAAGGGGAAGGTTGGGCATGGGTGGGGAACAGTGAGTACATATAGGAAATCTCTTTTTCTTCCTCTCAATTTTGCTGTGAACCTAAAACTGCTCTAAAAAATAAAATAGTCTTTAAAGAAGGTCAAAGCCTGTCTGGCCAAAGAACACAAGTCATCTCTGAGTAGACAGTAAGTCAAAAGCATTTTGGAAGAGTGTAGGCATATTTGATGCAGAAAATCGACACAAAAAAATTGAGATGAAAGGAGACGCTGCCCTCCTTTACGCCCCACTGGTAAGTGGGCTGCAAAACGACGGCCACCAGATTCCCGACGCGACCTACCGGAGGCATGGAGTGGGGTTCTTTTGGTTACAGTGTCTTTCACGAAGATGGATGCACCCTGGTTGATAAGAGCCTCCACACATTCTGTGTGTCCCTTAAAGGCAGCCAGATCCAGAGCTGTGCGGCCTTTCTCATCCCTGATGTCCAAGTCCACCAGCGACTGCAGAAGGACTTCCAGGGCTTGATGGTGCCCATTATAGGCCTGCAAAGAAGAAACCAAGGACTCACATGCTTGCTCACCTCGAACCCCACAACAATCCACACGAGGGGCTGGGCCTCTAAGGTCACAGGCTGAGACCACTTCCAAAGAGCACATCACAAAGACACTTGGCAGAAATTCTGAAACACAGGCTAACCGGAGAGTTAGACTGAAAAATTATAATACACAAATGTCCCACTTACATATGAATTTCTTCACATTCCTTCTCTTTTGTCAAGTAATTTGACAAAAGGTACTAAAGGTGCTGTATCCATGTTCACATTTTTATCTATTGATCTCATGATGTAATACAGACTAGCAGCTGAATGAATTAATATATTCTTCTATTTGTCAGTTCAGTCCTAAACATGTTGACATAATCAGAATATTTTTTCAGGAAGACTTTTCTGTTAAACCTGGAGGAAAAAATTACTGGAAACATTGTAGACTTGGTCATTTAAGAGAGGCATATAGACCTTCTATTATAGGCCAACCTTTTAATTTCTAACCGTATGAACCTGGCAAGTTTCTTAATTTTATTTAAGAATTTGTTCCCTCATCTGTAAGATGAAAGCAATAAGAGCTGCCCTCTAAAGAAGACGAAAAGAGATAAAATGGCACACTTTGCATAATATATTAGTTTATGCTGTCTCCTTTCTTCTTTATTTCTCCCAATAATTATAACAAAAACATAGAAATAATTATGGAAATCTATTCCACGTATCAGTGCCAAGTTCAGACCTATTATGATGTCCCATGCTATGTTAAGAGTCTTCTTACTTCTAAAACATAAAAGTGAAAGTCTGAAAGAAAATACCTTTAAGTGTATAAGGTAAAAAAAAAAATGTATATGAACACACAAATAAAGGGACATTGAAATAAAAAGGGATAAGGATATGGTAGCCGGGGGATAGGATGGGGGTAAGAAGTAAAGGAGATACAGAAAAACGTCTCCAGTGTCTTCAGCAGCCCGAGTCCCCTTAAGTCTATTGTGCTTTTTGTTTTTCTAACTGCACCGATTACCAAGGTACAACTTATTTGAAAAAAGGCTTAGCACAAACAAAAGACTGATTTCCTTAATATACAAAAAGCTCTTACAAACCATTTTAAACACTGGGAAAATGTGCAAAGGCATAAAAAGATAGCTCACGGAATTCTTAAGAAATTTAAAAGGCTAAGAAGTATATGAACAAAATTTGTAAACTTTTGAGGTACTATTTTTCAATTACCGATTTGCAATGATTGGTCATGTCCAGTATTAGTTACTAATGAAAAAGTATGCTCTGTTGGTTGGAGTATAGATCAATGTGACATTTGTGGAGGGTGATTTGACAAAATTTGTCAACAATTTTTTAAAAAACTAAGTTGCAGACTGTACATAAAACATGACCTTATTTATATAAAAAACAAATATATCTGGATATATACATGTCCTCTATGTATGTTTCTATATTCACAGAAAATTTTAGAAGGCATAAAAGAAACTATTAAAGGTGGTTACCTCTAGAAATGGGAAATAAAATAATGAGCATATTGGATTTATTTCACCTTACCTTTTTAAAAATCCTTTGAATTTTTTTCCTGAGTATATGCTAACAACAATATAACAAAAACTTGATTTAAAAGGACCCAAAGGATTTAAGAGTATTGACAGGAATTGTTTTAAAACATTCTCATCACATTATTTTTGTGAAAGACAATATCTTTATCTTTCACAAACTCATGGTTTTGTGACCATAATCATGGTTATTCTATGCTATATATTAGACATATTTATTATATATAATACATAGAATGACAACTTCATATGCTGATGAATCCCAAATTTATATCCCAGTTCTAACTTCTCCTTTACTTAGAGGCTGGTGTATTCAACTGCCTAGTGGTGTTTCCACCTAAATGTCTGATGAGCATCTCAAGCCTAACATGTCCTCCCAAACAAAATTCTTGATTTCCCTTCCAAAACTTGCTACATCTGCAGCCTTCCCCATCTCAGTAAATGGCAGCTTTATTCTTCTAGTTAGTTAGACTCCAAACCTTGGAGTCATCTTTATCTTTCCTCTTAAGCCCAGAGTTGTAGCCCTGCACAAAGGCTCTGGGACTTTAGGGCAAATGGATGCTGAAAAGTAACATCTGTCTCACTCACTCAGTTCCAGGCATATTAGGCACCCTGCCCCACCGTACACTTCCACCATGGTCAAATACAGGCATTTTCTCCTTTGGGCCATTGCATCTGTTTTTGCAAAAGGCAAGATTTCATTCTTTTTTCAACTGAGTAATACTCCATTGTATATATGTATCACATTTTCTTTATTCATTCATCTATTGGTGGACACTTACGTTGCTTCCATATTTTGGCTGTTTTAAATAATGTGGCAGTAAACACTGGGATACATATATATTTCCAAATCAGTGTTTTTGTTTTCTTTGGGTAAATACTCAGAAGTGGAATTACTGGGTCCTACAGTACTTTTATTTTTAATTTTTTGAGTAACTCCATACATGCTTTCCATAGTGGCTACACCAGTTTACATTCCAACCAACAGTGCAAGAGGGTTCCCTTTTCTCCACATTCTCAGCAACACTTGTTGTATCTTGTCTTTTTTATACTAACCACTGTGACAGGTGTGAGCTGATATGTCACACACAGTGGTTATAATTTGTATTTCCCTGATTAGCAATGTGGAGCACCTTTCATGAGTCTGTTGGCCATCTGTGCTTCTGCTTCAAACAGCATTTTGTCTGGAGGCTTCCCAGAGCCTATATAAAATAGCCCTATTAGCCACACTCAACACACTCCCAGATACTCTCCACCCCACTTATCTTGCTTTATTTTATCTTCATTGCACCTACTATCACTTGATATGTTACATCTCTACTGACTTGTTTGTCATCTATAATTGAAGGCATTTTATGTGTATGGTTCACCAGTGTACCCTAGAATCATGCGTGGCACAAAGGAGACACTCAACAGTTATTTGATGAATCAATGAATGAATATAGTGATTATTAGTAGTATCAGTGGTAGGAATGTGTTTTTAAATACCAACTATGTATTGAGGGCTCTCTAACTCTAGCATCAGATTTAGTCTTTGTAAACATCCTTTTTATAATTGAAAAAAACAGAACAAGTGATGTTAATTTGTCCAAGATCACTTAGCTAGTAAGTGTCAAAGTCAGGATTTGAAACCCAAAATCTGTGATGACTAAAATCTTTGCTTTTTTAGGCAACATCTTAAAATTTTTCCCAATAATTCTATTTAATTGACTTTCAAACAAAATACTTTTGTCTCTACATGTAACGTCACAGAGAGTCAAATAACAAATCAAATCAGAAACCTAAACCCCTCTCTAGAAGGCTTAACACAGGGGTAAAGTGACTTGACAGAGCTATGACTAAGAAGGTATATTCTGGGGCTAATTTCTAGACTCTTGTGCTTTTACTATATGTACTGCCTTTCTTGAGTCAGGAAAATAAACTCCTGTATGTCTACCTTTCTGATCTGTACTTGCTATGCAAACCACTACTGCATAGGATGGTAAGCCTTTAGGCTGACCTAAATTCTGAGGCAATAGCTAACTTTTATTGAGCACTTGCTGTGTATACCAAGCAGTACTGGACATTTAGCACCTCATTTAATTGTCACCAACAGTCCATGGCTTGACTAATGAAGACATAGAAGGGCAGAGATGTTATCTAAACTTCCCATGGTCACACAGCCTTATGCAATAGAGCTGGGATTCAAAGATGGAGCAGCCAGATCCCAGAGCCTGAGCTTTTCACACGCTCCTATGGAAATGGTGCAGTAAGGCCATAAGGTGTATGTTTCTTTAACTTATCTTATAGGAAATGTCAAACTTATACAAAGAAGAGAAGATAGTGTAAGGAGTTCTCTTATACCCATCACCCAGGTTCAGCCACTATCACCTCGGGCCCTAGGTGATTTTTAAGCCACCTCCGGAGCACCTTTCCCATAAAGGGTATGGTATAGGAATGTCTACACTGGACTATAAATCAGTCTGGGCTTGAGTCTGTGGCATTTGAAAACCAACATTTGCATAACACTTCCTCTTAGTTTAAATTGTAATGGTAGTAACTGATTCAGCTTATGTAGAAGTCCTGACTTTACATCAAAGGGAAATGATGCCAGTTACTATTATGAAAAAGATAGCAAACATTTTAATTTCTGTCAATATGATTCAGCCTAGGAAAACAGAATTAACAACTTATAAATTGCACGCATATCTACAATGCATAGAGGCTAATATATTTAGACTTACTAAAGAGAAGATGCAGGTCAAAGAAAAACACACTCAGGAAGGAAGCTGGTATGAAGGAATCAGCACTATTCAGAACAGCAGACTCGTATCAGAGGGCACTGAAGTCAGGTGCTGACTTAGGAATTCACCCCCCTATGAAAGATCCCTGCACTTTCCTTTACTCCTCACAGCAAAAATAAATCCACTAACACATGTTAAAAAGCTTAATATTAAAATAAAATGGAGTGAGCCTACTGGTAATTAGAAAGCTTCAAAATTTCAACACATACTTTACAACAGGCACTTGAAAATTCACTTAAAGACAGAATGGTTGAAAGCCCAGATTTACCCATAGAAGTCTCCTCATTTCTTCCTCTAGTCTAGCTTGCAGCTCATGAATTTTAGTATGCATAAGTATTCCTACACAGAATTGGAGATATAAAACTATGTATAAAACTAAACTTCAAGGACAATTTAAGGGGAATAATGAAGGTAACTGATTATACAGGAATTTTCATTTCCCTTCACACTTTAGAGCTTAACCCTAGCAACAAACTACTATATCATAATGAAATTCTATTTTATGCTTAAATGTGTCTTGAGGCAGTTACATGGGTCTTAGAGTATACAAAAAAATAAACAATAAGGCTTTAAACACTCTGAAAGAGACTGAAATAGCCAGGAAATTTCTCATGTCAGCAATACATTATAAAAATTGTCCTGTTTCTCTCTCTCTTTGTATCCGAAACTAGGTGTTTAGTAATTTCACAAATAATTTCTGAAATAACTAAAGGAGAAAGCAATCACACAAGAGAACAAATACCCTCATTCAAAAAGCATATAATATCTTGGCTTTCAATAAACAAACCAGTTTAGCAATCAAACATTTTAAATCTGTTTTATGAAATATCTTTAAAAAATCTCATTAAGTGCCCTAAATATTTATTTGAAAATTTTGGATAGGAACTGAGGACCACACAGGGAGAGAATTTGGGATTGCAAGAGAATCTATGACACAAATGGTCCATGTGGAAATTTCCACACCGGCAGACTTTCATTTGCATAGTCCTGCTTCTTGGTTTAATTTTTTCAAGTGGATGAAATGCTTATGACATTCCCGGGGACAATAACCATTGGGGCTTGAATCATTCAGCCAGAAAACTCAAGGCAGGTGGGGTTTCTTGTGACAGTCATTGTTTGGGGACATCTGGTTCTATTTTGTTGCTAGAATGCTTGGAGGGAAGAATTAAGGTGCCTTGGGTTTTTATCAAAATAATTGCTACAGAAGACCCTGGAGAGGGTGGCGGGCACACTTGGAGGGTTCTTGAAGCAAATAATATATATATTTTTAATTTAGCATTTAGAAGGCAAGAATAAGATAGTTTCAGAATTAATCTACTGCTGTCACCCTAGTCAAAGCCTCACCCTCGCCATCACACCGCCACCACCATCATTTGCTTGTCTTGCTTCTGCTTTTGTTCCCTTACACATTAAACACAGAAGCTAAAGTGAGCCTTCAAAAAGCAAAATTCTTATCATATTATCTATCTCCTGAAAATGCTCCAAATGGATTCCTACTTGGCTCAGAGTAAGAGTCGAAACTCTTACAGTGGAGTTCGTGGCCCTCCCACTGGCTCCCCATTCCCTCCGTGACATGTCAGACCTGGTCCCCTACCATCCTCACCTCACCAGTCTGCTCCAGCCATGGTGGCCTCCTTCAGTTCTGGAACATGCCATGCATGCTCTTACCGCAGGGACTCTGCCCTTCTGCCCAGGACACTCTCCATCAGGTACCAACATGGCTAGCTCTTAAGGTCCTGGTACAAATGTAAGCATCTATGCTATGTGGAACAGTGCCTGTCTGCAACCTCAGTGCTCTAAGTCAGTGACCGTGTTTGTAGTGCTCACAGCAATTCTTATCACCTGTCATGCTCTATATTTACTTGCCTATTGTCTCTCCTAGACTGGGAATTGCAAAGCCAGCGGGTGGGTTCTTATTTCCTACAATCTCTCCAGCTCCCAGAACAGAGCTTAGCATGTACGCAGCTAGTAAATGTCAGAAGAAAGAACGACATTAACGTTAGTCACAGTGAGCATGAAGCTAGCTGACCGCACGTATGTGCAGGCACTGTTCTAACTGCTTGTACGCATTAACTCGTGTCATCCCCACAACGGCTCTGTGATAGGGGTACTGTTATTCTCCCCACTTTATGGGTGGGGAAACTGAGACACAAGAGGTTAGGAACCTGACCAAGATCACACAATTAACATACAAATTAACAAATTGGAAAGGGTTTGGGGATCCTTAACTAATGTATGCCTTTTAATTTACAGGTGAGAAAACCACATCCAGGTGAGTTGCTAATGAGAAGACTGGGACCAAGACCTTCTCTGCGTGTACTTCCTAGGCCCCTGCCAGCTGCAGGACTGCCAAAGTCTGGCTACCTCCAGTGACACCACGGCAGCCTGTCCTTACGTGCCTGGAAAGTGACAGAGCTTGGCAGGGTGCCCGGCACACAGACAGCACTCCACAATAATTTTTGGGAAAAAATGAGTAAGAGATAATAGAATTTCTGAAAGTTAAGAAAATCTCTTCTCCGGTTACTAGCAGGCTCTTCAATGCCATCAACCCCACTTTGAAAGGACATGAAAATTCTCTCTGAAATAACCTTCCCAACAGGCCTCCCAAGGGGCAGCCGGTGCTGTTTGTGAACCCCCAGCTTGGGGACTGGCCCAGGCACAGCAGGTGGGTGGGCAGAGCTGCTAGGGAGCGTCCTTTAGAGCAACCTGCACTAGGGCAAATTGGTGTGAAGCTTTCTGTACACAAATATCCCACTAGCCACCCATCTTTTCCCCCCGCCAGTCCATCTCCAGAACAAAGATTGATGCATATTTTAGCCTGATTTCACTAGACTCAAAATGAGTGTGTATCAGAGGGTGTGTCTGTGGGTGTGGATGCCTGTGGGTGTGGCAGAGGGTGTGTCTGGGTGTATCCATGGGTGTGTCCTGGGTGTGGCAGAGGGAGGTGAGTGGGGTGTCAGCAGACATGTTGGTGAGTGTGTGGGTAGTGTGTGGCAATGAAGGGAGGGCTCCCTGCAGTGTGAGTGGCTCATCCCAGTCTTCCTGGCCGGCCTCCTGCCCTCTCACGTTGCCCAGACACTTAATAAACACTAGTCTCTACTCTCCAGTTCAGCTTTTCCTCAGAATGACACTGAAGAAGTGCTGATGTGTGCACGGTAATGAAATGTCACGACAGTTAAACAGAGACCCAGGCCCTTATCACCCCGCAGCCTCTGGGGCATCTAAACACCACCTCTGTGGCTGTGGCCGGAGCAGAGGGCTCACCCACCAGCAGCCCGCTGGCCAGGGAGTCTGCTGGGTGTGGCTGCCAGTGCTACGGATTCTCAGGGAACAGCTGCTGATCACCATAGGACCCTGAGGTAGAGTGGGGGTGAGCTTCCCAGCTCACCCCCCCCCCCCAAGGGGAGCTCGGGGGTGCTGCCTTTTCCTTCAAGTACTGAGCCGCGGAAAGGCGGCTTTCCTGGTAACAGAAGAACTCTTCCCTCCCCCCAGATCTCACCCAGTGCAAGAATCAGAGCCTGACTCTTCCTCTGAGACCCCGATGTCAAGCCCAGGGAGAACAGAGTTGCAGCGATGCACAGGTTTGTTCATCTTGCTCTCACAGGTCTGTGTTTAAATACCTCACAAGTTTTTATTTGTGACACTTGATTATCTATAGGATGAATACTTGTGTATTATTGTCTATAACCAAATCTCTAAAACCAAAATGTTTTCTTCAAATTTCCCTAGTTGATTGATTTTACTAGTAGATATACTAATGATGATTTTAAAGATTGTTAAAGTTTATAACAGTCATTTTATGACACTCAGGGTAAGCAATGTGTCTAAGGTCACCAGCAGGTGAGGCTGGGATTGGGATTTGAGACAGTCTTTCTCTCCACACCCTGCACCACAGGATCCATGTACTGTTTTCATTATTAGTTACTGCTGCATTCACTATGCTTTTTTTAAGAGCAGTTTAGTTTTAGCAACACTTAGGTTCTTTCTGTAACACAGAGAGCTGCCCACAGCATCTGACTCACAGCTAAATGGAGCGGACTCTTGGTAGCACCGGAATCTGATTCTTCAAAACCACTGTTGGTTCTTTCTAAAAGCTGTGGAGACAAAAAGGAAACAGTATGTGAGTGCAATTTGCAGAAGAAATCCTGCTTTGTAGATACTAATGTTGACATAAAATGAGAAAAAAAGGCTTCAGAAACAAGAAATTATGCAATTTAGCAATACAAGAAATCTGATACAGCATATCTAAGACAAATACACTAACAGAATATTTCAATTTTTAGATCATATCAGCATATACTACTATTCAAAAAGAGGCTTTCATACTTGAAAGATGCTCAGCCCCACCATCACAGAGAGAAAATTCATGTTTAATCTCCTTTTCACCCAGCAGGTAATAATGAGAAAATTAAAATATCCTGTGTTTATTCCACATTTACTGGCAATAGTGTTGAAAAAGACATGTAAAGCTCTTGTCCTCATGGAGAAATACATTCTAGAAAGGGAAAGATAGACAAACAAATAGATATACATATAAGAAAATATCTAGATATACATAAAAGAAAATATCTGGTAGTGATATATGCTTTCATATGATATGTAGGACCAGGAAGATCCTTTACAGCCGATGGTCAGGGAAGCCCTCTCCAAGGAGGTGGCAGTTAAAGTGAGACCTGAATAAGCAGAATTAAACCAAGTACAGGTGTGCCAGAAGAGTACTATGGGAGGAGGGAGGAGCCAGTGCAAATGTCTCAGGTAGGGACGAGCATGGTGAGTTCAAGGAACAGAAAATACAGTGTGACTGGAACATGATGTTGACAAGGGTATCAGAAAAAAGACATTCTCATGTATTCTTGGTGGGAGAATTATTAAAACCAATCTGGGAAACTTATAAATATCTTTGACGCTAGGAATTAATACCCAATGAATAATTTAGATAATTCACAATGACACATGCATAAAAAAAGTGTTCATTTAATAAATATATGATGAATGATTACCAATGTGCCCAGACACTACTCCAAGCAATGAGGATTTAATAATAAATAATATATGAAACTATCCATTTCCTCACGGGTAGTGGGACAGACAATAAGAGAAAGAAGTTACATATTTAGTAAGAAAGTGGTAGGTGCTATGGAGAAAAATAACACAGAAAAGGAGGGTTCGGTGGACTGGAGGTTAGGTCAGTTTGCAACTTTAAATAGGGCGGGCAGAGAAGGTCTTACTGAGTGGGTGGTGGCTAAACAAAGTCTTGAGGGTGATGAGAGAGCTTTGTAGATACCTGGGGGAAGAGCATTCCAGGCAGAGGGGCTAGCAACTGACAAGTTTCTTAAGGACAGGTGTGCTTAAGAACATCAAGGAGGCTGGATCAAAGTACGCAAGGATGAGAACAACAGGAAAGGAAATCAGAGATGGTAGCAGTGGGTGGTGGCATCAATAAGAGCCTTCTGGGTTGTTGTAAAGACTTTGACTTTTATCTGAATAAGATGGAATTTCACTGGAGTGTTGAGCAGAGGGGTGACATGTTCCAACTTTTAGACTCCAGGGAGGGCACAGTCCTTTGAGGAACTGGGTCAAAAGTCCAAGAGAGAAGTAACTGTGGCTTGGACCAGCAGGAAGCCATGGAGATGGCGAAAAGTAGTAGATGTGGATATTTTTGGAGACAGAATCAACAGGATGTGCTGACAGGCTGAATGTGAACATAAGGGAAAAAAGGAAGTCAAGGATGGCTCCCAGGATTTTATCCTAAGCAAATGGAAGGATGGAGGTCCCATGAATCGAACTGGAGAAGACTGTGAGTGTAACATACGCATGGGAAAGAGAAGTTTGATTTTGGAAATGTTAAGGTTGAGATGCTTTTAAAACACCCAGAAGTACATGCTAACCAGGCGGTTGTTGGATGCATGCAGATGCTCGGTGGCTCTAGGGCCAACAGTAGTGGCAGTGACAAGTCTGACCCTGTATGTCAGCTAGGCGGATGTGTCTATGAGCAGCCATCCCAGTGGCTGCTTTCTGATTTTTCTGTCTCTATGATCATGGGGAAGGGGCAGCCACCCTGGCAGTCCAAGCTCATCAATTCAGGCTTATTTCTGGAGGGTCATCCCAGTGCCCCATATTCTAAATCCCCCAACAACATTGTATATACCTATTTTTAAAAATCAAATTTCTTTTTCTGCTTGAAATAGCTGGCATAATTTCTATTTCCTTCAAACGAATCCTGACTTACTCAAAGAGCAATATGGATTATTATAGAAGTTTCCTTAATGGGAGTAGTGAAGGAGAAATTACACCACTCAATATACTAAAATGGCAAAATTTTCTAAAAACCACTTCACTAATTTTTTTCCCTGAAAGTCTCAAACTTGTCAAGTAGAAAAACACATCTTAAAGCCATATGTGTGGAACAATATCATTTTCATTAAAAAAATCTGTATTGACACAACTATATGTGCAGAAAAAAGCCTAGAAACATATCCTAAAATGTTTAACATAGGAACCTAATGGTGAGATTATAGATGATTTTTATTTTCTTTTTCATCTTTGCTGAAATTTTTTTTTTGCAGTGAATGTGTATTAATTTTTGAATCAGAATAATTCTAAAGCCAAGTCTATTTGGGAAAAAAAAGCTATTATCCCTCCTTTTCATTTAATAGAATAATTGCCACAGAACCCCAGGTAGGTCCAGAACTCCTTTCTAATCAATGCATGTGGGACAAAAGGCTTGGATTCTTTGGTAGATCAAGTGACAGTGTATAATGTACCATCTAAAGGCACAAAACTTCAAGTTTGTAAATAATGCAATACAAATAATTATATCAGAACAATGAGACATTTTCTGTTTGTTTTTATTACAGTGAGAATAGAATTTGGAACTTAAACAAGCTAGGATATGTTAGAATAATGAGAGTAAATTTAATTTTAACTTCAAAGCCAATAACTTTAAAACAAATCTGTCTTACACAGTTGAAGCAAAAGTAGCCTTTACTACTGGAAAAGGCTAGAAAACAGCTGTTCTTTGCTTTGTTTTGTAACATTATCACCTGCAAGACTTCCTGGAATTGGAGTTTATAACAACTCCAAATCCTGTCCTAGAATGAACTTTTAATCAAAGGAACACAGAATCATTTCCACCATTATCATAAACATGATGGACAGAGGCAAGAAGACAATATACTGTTTATAACCACAAATTGGGCATGTTCCCAGAAGATTTATTACGGCTAAGATTTTTTCAAGCATGTACTTTGATCATTCTAATAGCATGTGATGTTTTACTTCAATCATTCACCAAATATTTGCTGAGCTTCATCTCTGTGCAAGAACCTGATTTAGGCACCGGGATTCAACCATGCAGCAAGCAGATGTGGCTTCTGACCTGAAAGAGTTTAGAGATAAATGGGGAACCCACAGAAGTGAACAGGTAATGAAAACAGACAAAGAACTAGGGTACAAGATGCTTTGGGAACATTTGGAAGTGACTGATATAACCTTGAGGGGTCAGAGAGGACTCCTCTATAAAGGAAGGTCCGGCCTCAGACCTGGATGGTAGAAACCAGCCAGGCAAACAGAGAAGGGAAAGCAGTGAGTACAGCAAATTTGAAAAACCTTAAGTTAAATAAGACTAGAGTAGTGTGTAGGGGTGAGGAAAAAGTTAAGAACAATGAAGCTGGAAACATAAGCAGAAGATAGATTAGGTATATGGTAATCATATTATTATTGTTCAATCCAGGACATTTTTGAGCATGACAATTGTGCAGGCACAACTGTAAACCAGGATGTTGAATCAGGATAATTATTCAGTCACTGAAGTGCTACAAGCAGGGAGGAAGCATGATCACGATCATATTCTTGGGTTTCATAAATATCACTCTGACTTCAATGTGGACAATAAACTGCTATCATGTGTAGGTGGGGACTGCAACCCTAGAGGCAGAGAGATCAACTGGGATATTTCGACATGGGATTTCTAAATTGTGAATTATTACCTTGTCGAGAACTGATGGAGGCCGGAATTGCAGAAGGGGCAATGGAAATAGAAGGAAGTGGGTGTATTCAAGAATTTCATTCACTCCTTTATTCATTCATTCATTCATTCAGTAATTATTTATTGAGCACTGTGTGAGGCACTCAGATTTTAGTTCTAAAATGACCCCTACCCACATGAAACATATAGTCTAGAAGGTGTAATGGACACCATTCATGGACTGTGCAGTGGAGGAAGGAGACAGGGTAGAGTCAAAGATGACACCCAGTGCTCTAGCTTTGAGAACAGGGTGAACAGTGATGCCTTCTTTAAGATAAGAAAAAAACATACAAGATCAGGGAAAGAAAGGTGTGTTGAGTTTTGGTGTGAAGTGCTACCAGAACATTCAAGGGGAGACATCCAATAGACAGAGGGATAAAATGTTTGAAGTTTAGAACACAGATCTAGGCTAGAATAATGGGTTTAGGAATCATAAGCAAAGGCTGAGACATGAAGTCCCACTGTGGATGAGACAGCCCAGGGAGAATGTGTAATAAGAGGACAGAAAAGGCACAAAAGCCTCAGGAATGCCAGTATTTAAGGGTCTGGAAGAGGAAGAGGGTATGCAAAAGGGGGCTGAGGGATGGACAGAGAGGTAGGAGGAGAACCAGGAGAGTGAGATAATGAAGGAGGTGATGATGGTGTAGGTGGTGGTGATGATGGTGACAGAGGTGATGATGATGGTAGTGGTGGTGATGATGACAATGGAGGTGGTGATGATGGTGGTGGTGATGGAAGTGATGATGGAGGTGATGACGGTGGTGATGACAGAGATGGTGGTGGTGGTGATTATGGAGATGATGATGGTGGTGGTGGTGATGACGGTGGTGGTGATGGTGGCAGCAGCTATGATAAGCATGATATGAAGGTGACAGCTGTGAAAAATGATGATGACGAAGATTCTCACGAGTAACAGCCAAAGTAATTAAGCATTTACTATGAGCCAAGCCTTCTACAAAAGGCCTTACATGAGTCACCTCAGTCTATCCTCAGCTAATCCATTCAGTGACTTGCTCGGGTTCACATGGCCTGTAAAGGACAGATTGGGGAACTGCACCTAGGTCTAACCCCCCATGCTGTTCACCTCACACACCAATGCCTTCTTATCGACCCATAAGCTGAAACTTTCCCCTGATACTTACCAAAAAAAAAAAAATGTCAAAGAGCCCAGCAGGGATGAAGGTAGGAAACAGAGATTTTGGTTTCATTTTGTTTTAAATGTGAGAGTCTTTTTATGTCTCTACCTTCAACAATTTCCTTTAATCCTTGAGATTTTCCCCCTTCATTTCCCAAGGAGAGGCTAAGCACTCATCCTGGTTACTTAGCAATCACAGGAGACGTTAACTGCGATCTAGCTCCTCCAAGTGTTTCTCTTTGGCAATATTTTTTTTGTTGTTAGTTAAGAAGACAATGTGGAAAAGTGGGGAGAAAAGCAATGTGCAAGTCATTCAAAACTGGCCTTTACATTTAGACTTAACTTTTCTTTCTCATTTAAAAACATATCAAGAGCAAGAGGTGAGGCAGATACACAATACTGCTCAGATGCTCTGCTCTGTGCCAATCTCTCTGGGGAGGAATATGGGAGCCGGAGAGAGACAAAGAACTCATACCATGACTCATCTACAAACTCATAATTCAGCCCGTGGTCTGCAATATTTAGAAAATAACATTGCTCTACAGAGATCAACCTCAACCTACCTTGTCAAAATCAGAAATGGAATGGCTCTTTTGAATCAGAATTATAGCTAAGAATACATGCCAAAGAAGCAGCATCATAAAAAGCAATGAGTTCTGCACATAAAGCTTATAGTTATAAATCAAGGAATACAATTTTATGTGTATAACATAAGGCAAACTACTTAAAACTTTCTCTTTTAAGACTACTTCCAATTAATACACCCTCATGGTTATCATTAACATTTACACAACCCATGCATTCACACACTAATTTTCACATTGAATTACATACATAAATCCAGTGTTCACATCCAATATGTTGCCACAGGCTTCTATCAGCACAATAAGAAACTGCACTCGTTCCAAGGATTGACTTGGTTCTCTGCCTAAACAATCTATTAAAATGGCTGCTTTAATAAAGCCTTTATCTAGACTACTTAATCTTACTCCTTGTCATCTCCAAAATCCCAGAATTGCTTCTTTTTCTCAATTGATCAATCATTTATGCAGCTTGTATGTAGAGTCCAGTACTGCTTGACTACCCCCCTACAGCCTCCTGCTACCATCCCGCGTTTGCCAAGACTCTTGGGTGGTAAAAAAATAGGTTTGGGCTGAAAGCCACATCCAATCCTCCACTGACAGGTAAAGATGGGTGTCTGAAGTGGAAATTTAGAGAAAGAAGCCAGGAAGAGAGCCAGCAGACTTTTCAACTGTCTTATTTGGGAAATACGGCTGCCTGGTTCAACTTGAGGGTGAGTAGGGCTGGGGCTGGGATGGTTTATAATTTGGGCGAGTGGGTGAGGCCTGAGAAAACAATTGCACTGAAATTTTAACAATTCATAGGACATTTTCTGGATCTGGACAGTGTTTCCACAGGACTGGAAGTCTCACACAACAGCATCTCAATGTCTTGGATTTAAAAGCAGCAAAGGTAATAGAAGGACAAGTTTAAACCTCTCTCTACAAAGTGAATCTGTGATAACAAATCAAGAATAAACATGAACTCAATGGTAAGCCAACTGACCACTAGGTTAACAAAACAGTAATTTTATCATCCAAAACTGTGAGGAAACATAAATATTATACTTGAGCTGGAAACTCAAGCTTTATAAATACTATAGATTATGACTGGCTATTTGAAAACATGGCAAGAAAAAAATTCAGAGATCCCAAGAGATCTCAAGCTGATCCAAACCAGTTTTTAAACGTGCTTTGTACAAAAGAAGAAAGCAAGTATGGCTCTAAAAACAGAATGTGTAGCCAGTTGGTCTGTAAGGTAACCCTTTCTCTTTTTGGTTCTGGTTAGACTCTTCACTACACAACTAGTCTCTACAAGTTAGAAGGGATACGAGGACCTAGAAAACCAATCAGAAAATCTCCACCAGGACCATGTAGAGGAAAGATTTCAAAATGGATTTATTTATCTTTTAGCAGTGAGGACTGAGAAGACATTTAGGAGTCTTCACGTCTGTAAAGGGTTGGACGCAGGCCAACGCTGTTGGAAAGTTGGCTCCTTTGTCAGAAAGTCTACTTCACATCCCACTGGTCTGTGCTTTAGGATGAAATGCTATTTGGGCAACGTCAAGGCCACTCCTGAGTCACCTGTACTGTGACCTGACTCTGGCGCCATCCCAAAGTGGGGAGCTGGGTCTGCAGAAGTTTCAGGCCACCCAGCCATGTCAATACACTCCAATCAGAGGACCCCAGGGGTCCAGGACAGACCACAGGGATCCCACAGGTCTTTTGGTCTCAGAATTAAGCTGGTATTTCAGGCCACACTGGGCCTCAGTGGACCCCAGGCCTTTGTGCCTTGCCCCAAATAAACTAGCTTCTCCATGGTGGCACATCTGTAGTGATAGTGACTGCTTCTCATGATTCTGCTCAGACCTCTTCACAGCTATTAGAAAATGCTATGTTGCTTGAAATTGGTATTAACAACAATTACCCGAGACTCAGTGGTTTCTAGAAATGTAGGAATCTCTTTAATTCTGCTTCTCCAATCCCCTCCCCTTGTCATTCCATAAGCAAGGAACCATTAACTCTACACTGCAGAAGTCAAGGTCTATGCCACTTTAAAAGGAGATAGCACGAATTAAGGAGGGTGCTACTAGAAGCTTAGCTAGATTAAGTTTCCATTCTTCTTGGGAGCTTATTTTGATTACTCTGCTTATCTCCTCCCTCCAGTGTGTATTCAGTTCCCGGTGATTTCCTTGCCAATTAAAAGGCAGAAGAGCCTGTAGCATGTGTAAGGAACGCTAATGAAACCTGCTGTGAAGATAAAGCCAAATAAAAGACATAAAAGGCATGGTGTTCAAAACTCTCTTGCAAGAGCCTTGAAAATGCTCATGTACTTTTACCTGTAAACCTACTTCAGAGACTCTATCCTGAGAAGCCCAAAGCTGTTCAGTAGTGAAATAGTGTAAATAACCTAAATAGTAGAAGACTAAGTTATGGTTAATTTAAGAACTGAACATTATTTAGATTAAAAAATGTTTATCATGAGTTTTTAAAGGCATTGGGAAAAGATTTTGTCATAATATTTTATGGAAAAAATCAGCGTACAAAAGTGCATATTTAATGTTCTCTCATATACGTGATAAATGAAATATTTTAGAAGCCTGAAAAGAAATATACCTAAAGGTTAATAATGATTGCTTTGGGATTGTGGGACTTTGGGTGTTGGACTTCAGGTTTCTACTTTTCTACGCATTCTACAACAAACACAGATTCAGAAAGATTATGATGAATTTCTATTTAAAAGTGAGATGGTGGAGCCAGATGGTTTCCAAGGTCCCTTTAAATATTCTGTACTGTAGCTACTCAAAATTTAAGGGGTCAGTGTTGTCATGACCGGGACAACTGCTTCTTTATTAAAGCAGTAACACCATTCTGGCCAGTATCAGTACTGGTTGAAGGCATTCCTTCGCAGCCATTAAACTTCAAATTCCCTAGGGGCAGGGACTACCTATACCATGTAGCTGGCTTTCATAAATGTTTGCTGAATGTAATTTAAACCTGGCAAGTGAATGAGAGAGCATTAGTGGAATCAGTTACAGGGTGGTAACACATTTGCTTGCCTGCTTTGACACTGCAAAACTATCAAAAACATGATTGGTATCTGATATTTTGGATGGATTTTTTCCCTTCATAAAAACAATTTGAATAATATACTCATTGCTACATTTAGAAAACTAACCAGCAAAACAAATGAAGAAACCTGACCTTTCACAGAGCATGGTCTTATAACTGAAAAATGCTCTGGCACACGTGTGTCTTTTTAAACCCAATGCCAGTTTACGGTTACCAGAGAGCGATAGAGCTCATCAGGAGGTGTCCTCTCTTCTGTCATAAGGAACTAAAGGAGACTAACATCAAATCAAATTTGATATGATTGAGGAACCAATATAATGAAGAAGGTGAGATACTAGTAAAAGAATTCTAAACACATTTTCCGGTTGGAAATACCTAAATTGGTCCAGAAAAAGCCAGGTAATATGTTTCTGAAATAACGAAATGGTATGATACTTTTCATCTTGTCACAGGCTTTTCAGGTGAGTTAGAGTATTACGATGAATTCATACGAAATGTCACTAATTTTAGGGATATGGCATCATGGTTGCTGAAAACACAAGGACTACTGATCCCTGGTTGGAAGAAGCCAAAACTGGTATGGAGGAGAAAAGGGTTTGAACTGAGCGGAGTTGCAAAAAATCACTGCAGGAGCCATCCCAGACGTGAGAGGCATCATCAAGGTGATCCCTCAGTTGAGAAGTTCCACAGCAGCTTTGGGTTTAAGTTGTCTAAGTAACGCTCAGAATTCTTAAGTTCAATTTTCCCCAAGCAGAATAAAAATGTAAAATTTCTCTATTTAGGTTAAACAGAAGGCATACTCCATCTTAATAAAGACATTATTCTCTTTGGTGCCATAATTTCCTATAACTGACTGTGGCTTCATTCTTTTATGTGGGTGGTGAGCCAAAAGACAGAAGGAATGCTTGTGTCTGGGAGACAGGACAGATGAGAGACAGAGCTGGAAAGGTCCCCTGTGGAAATGTGTGAGGGAAACACCACCAACCTGCAGCCACCAGCCAATCCTGGAAGCACCCACCTCAAATACAAAGTTTATGCCTTGGTAGCTAAGCATGCCTTGGGGAGTACCCATGGAATATCCACTAGGGATGTGATGATGAGCATTAATTCTTGCAAGGACATTTCTGTACAACAAAAAACTTCGGCTATTCCCCTGAAGTTCATAGTAAAGAAATTAGCCCAGACCATACCTACCTCCTCCTGAATTTTGCAAAGTAATTCAAAAGTTAAGCTCACCATTCTGTATCAGCAGTGAGTTCAATATACTGGTGTTATTACATCAGTGGAAGAATCACCTGATTGCCTGATTGTCTTTCTCTCTTTGGATCCCTGCATTACACTGTGATAGTGATGGTGGTGGTGGTGGTGGTGGTGGTGTGTGTATTTGTGTGTGTGTGGTGTGTGTGTGTGTGTGTGTGTGAAGGAGCAGAGGAGAGGAAGACAAAAGCAAATGGTTTGTGTTAATCAAGGATTATCATACGTGGGTAACATCTAAGTTTAGGAAAAAGCCTAAGAGGGGTAAATACCAAGAGACACTTGATAGATTCCCTAATGTTAAGAAAAATGATCCAAAACCTATAAATAAAGCAAAGACACTAATTCCATGTTCTTTTCAAATCATACTGCATCATTATTTTACCAAGTCCACCCAAGATTAATTATTTAGTATAATGTTAATTAAGTTACATGTCTATGAAGCTACATGTTAATTTATAAACTTGTTTCCAGCAGAGATACATATTATTTCTGTGTGGTAGGAAAGAGAACTCCAGAGGTTATAGCTTATTTAGTACACCAGCCAGTTTTGTATCTAACCTAGCAATCTTATTCTAATATTATTTTATTAAAGTATCTACAAATGCTCTGTTCCTCAAGTACACCTTTAGCATCTTACCAGTTCCATCATTACTTAACGAGATTTAAAAAAAAAACCTTTAACACATGTACCTCTTTTTCATGAGTCATGTTTTAAACTTTTTAGGAAGCATACTTTCCTTACCACCCATCAACTCCCATCTTAACATAAGACCATAAAAGCCAGTATCCTATGGAAATGCCTGTAATAGCCTCCTCCCCTCCTGTTGTTCCACCCGGACTCTTCATGGGAACGTTAAGAGAACTCACGAGGTGCCTTCCTCTCCTCCCACAGGAACTTGTGCAGTTACAGGGCCGACAGAGCTGTACTGAGCCAAGATGGGAAAAGCAATGCCACTGGATTTCCAGTGAACTTCTCAGGCTCTCAGACTGAGGAATCATGGGCTCCCCTCCCCACTTCAAGTGTCTGCTGGATCCAGAGAATCGTGGCAATGGCCAGGAACTTCCCATATGGACTGATGGCCTCCTGGCCTGCACTTACTCATTTTCCTCCCAGAACCAACAAGAGTTGCCCGATACCAACATTGTCCCTCTCCTTACCCCCATTCTAAGAGAGGAGGTCTTCCTGAGTACTAAGTTCACCCAGCACATTTGGGAGCACTCACAGTGTACCGTCTCTTCTCTCTTTCTGGCCTTCTCTACTTGGAATCCTCAGCACAGAACCTCACCCCAGTCACACCCATATAGGACTTAAACCTCAGATCACCTACAGCCCAAGAGGCAGACCCTTCTCTTCTCTTCTATCTCACCTCTCTTCAAAAATAAATGTCACTGCAGAAGAAAATGAAATGCACAATAAAGCACAGATTATTTAAGAAAGAAAGCAAGGGCACATTAATTACATTTAAGCCAAATAAGGTAATGCAAAAGCATTGTCTCTCAAAGCTTTTAAAATTTCATTCCATTCATTTACGTAAGATGACTGTTTGGTACAGCTGTTTTACTGGTACAGAAATTACAAAATTAAGAGAAAAATATGGTTTTAGATTTATAAAAGATAAAATAATCACAAAATCATAACAGAGTTCTATTCTCCTTTAATATAATGAAACTATGATGCTTCAATACCTGATTTTTTTGTTAACTTTTAAAATGGTTTCCTCTGTGGGTCTTTCCACTGTGGACCATGGTAGCCACAGACAGACTCTTCCCTTGATCATTTTGCCTCTCCTTCTTTGAAGGGGTTGCTGGGAACCTCCTGGATTCTCTTTCTGTGAGGTGTTAGGCTATCTACCCACCTAAGTCTGACTCCTGTTATCTTGCCTGTTATTATTTAACAGGAAATACTGACCTCTTCCTTCCAGAGCAGCAAGCATTCCTTTTCCTGGGAGAGAAGGAAGGACACTGCCTGCAGGACCTACTCAATTCCTGATCTTTCTAACTTTATCTTCCCATTCCACAGCTTCCCCCCTCCACCACTAAAACCAAAACCCCTTTCCAGCCTCCTGGGCATATATGTAAAGAACTACCCGTCTCTTGGGGAGCACAGGCACCTGGCTTCCTATACACCACCAAAATCCAAGACACAATTTGCAAATCAGAGAGCCTGTGGATAATCATAAATTCTACTGAGTTTAAAAATCAGGGCCTAAACTATTTTGTCTCCCTTTTAATTCCACAGACCCAGCAATTCCCAAAGTAAGTCATGTTCAGCTGACAGTGAGAATGAAGCATCTTCAGCAAATAATGCCCATCACTGAAAACACACTACGGTTTGTGACTTTGGGCCACCAGGATGCACATGGAGCCATTTCACCCAAGGTATTCAAAGGCTCTTTTGGGAGTGTCTATGCTTCTTTATCCACATGCTGTCTTTTCTTTCCGGCTGTTAGTTAGCTCTTTGAACTAGGAGTGTGAGAGGTGGGGTACTTAATTTAACAAAATATATCCTAAAGGTTCTTACAATTCTTTCAGTGGCCAGGCTCACTGCTTGCTGATATTGTCAATAAAAGGTTTAAGAAAAATGTGAAATTTTTGGCTAAAATTAAGTTTTTGTATTCCCTGTGAATCTACTACCTCATCCCTACTAATGAAAGAAAACCTTAAAATGTTGTGTAACTTCATGTCATTCAGAAGGGCAATTAAAAGAAATCTACACTCTACTTGTAAAGTGTTTTCCTTTCTTGCTCCCAATTACCTATAACAATGACTTTTTTCTGGTATTTTAACAAGGCTTTATTCAAAAAGAGTTACATTAAGAAATATTTTATATGCACTCTCTAAAACTATGGAAAAATCTCATTTGGATACACTTTTTAAAAAATATTGTGATAACTGTGTTTGGTGACTGATGGGAACCATACTTCCTGTGAGGAACATTTCATAATGTATACAAGTGTCGAAGCACTGTGCTGTGCACCTGAAACTAACACAATATTGTGTGCCAACTATACTCCAATAAAATAAAAGGTAGATTTTCACATGTCAGTGTGCAGCTGAAAGGCAGCTGAAAAAATTTCAGAGTTCAATTTAAAAATAGGTGCCTATGCTGTTAGCTCAATATGGTTGAAACTAAACTGCCCTAATTTGTTATACAATAGTGAAGTTGTCAAATCTGGATCTTTTTTCCCCCCTTTGAGGACACACATTATTTCATGGATTCTTTAGTTAAGTGTATGACATAGGAACACATATGAAATAAAAGCACTAATTTTACTTGTGATTACCAAATTTATAAATTAGATTGCTCAAATTAGATAAGAATGGTCTGTGTACAAAATCTAGTGCCCCAAATACAAGTAATTATAATAGAAGTGTGATTTTAAGTGTTTGATTTTTTTTTTAAGTCAAGGGATCAGTGATTAAAAGATTAAAATCAAGAAAAGAACAGATATCTTAACATCTTAAGAGAACAGAATCACACTTGCAGGATATTTTCCTTTCTGTTTATCACTACATCTGTGGAACTTTACTTATCAACTAATAAAAATGGTAATGAAAATAACAAAGTGAAAAATTTGGGGAGACTGCTCTGCACGTTATCACAACAGAGAGGTGTTTTTCAGAATTTTTCTTTTAAATATCATTATTCTGTAATTGCCTCCATGGTTGACAAACACTGTAAGTGCAGAATTGTACACCAAGCCCTACAGCTTCCAATTGCATATTCCAGTTTTAAAGTCTGGCCCATAAAGGATGTTTTCCTCAAAGGGTGCTTTGCATTTATTTACAATGATCAATTTTTAAGTATATGCCTGGAAGGTGACATGATCCTGATAAACGAACAAACATACCCAAAGCACAGACAGGGATTTCACCTGGTCCTAAAATATTAAAGTAAGCCATCAATTCGTGACTAGCTATGCCATAAAAGAGGTATAAAAAGGAAGCTTTATATTTAAGCAAAACATTTTAAATTATAGCTTAATTTCAGCCTTCAATTGCTGAATCAGCTTTGAAAAAAAGTTTCCAAGTTTGTGCTCAGGGAGAGTGCTAGATTAGAAAGACCAATTTAAAATCATTAAACTTAAACACTAACGGTGGATTTTATTAAAATGCTAGAAGAATTATTACAGGTTCTGATAACTTCACAAATGGCCGCACAGCTTGAACCACAGCTTGGATTTTTCTTTTCTGCCTCTCCCCTTATCCCCTAGGACAACAGAGCAGTGTGTCCATGGGGCTCTCCCGGCTTGTCCTGCACTGCTTTCACAGCCATCTTCTCTTCACTCTGCTGAACAGCCAGGAGCTCTTCTTTTTCATCCTTTCTACATGCTGATAGTTCTGTTTTCATTTTACTTCCCTTCCTCAACTGCAGTAAAGAAGTTGTGTGCTTTCTCTGCTAGAATAATGAGGTCAGGTTACCACCATCTAAACTACTCAGAAGGTATTTTATTTTTAACAGGACCAAACCATTAACAGCACAGACTAAAAATCCTCCTCTATAACTCTGAGACAATCCCACCTGAGGCATGTGTTTATTCCCATCCCTGTGTTCATTTTCCCTGGCAGGCAGCCTAAAAGCATCATCAGAAGGGAGATGGGAGACAGGGTTAGGCGTCCTGCTCCTGTTAGCCCTCCTTTGTCTAAAGACAGGCTTGAAAGCTTACTCTTCTAAACACTACTGGCCACTCTGAAAGCCAAATTTTCATTTAAAATGGGCTTTTAGTTCTGACAACTGTTTTCCCCATTGACTTATAAGACGTAATTTTTAAATGAGATATGCTGAGGAAGGCAGGCATTATTTAACATTATGTATGACTCAAGAGCAGCACATGGCTCACAGAAGGTATCCAATACATGTGTTTAATATATGAATTTTAAAAATGAAAGAACTATAAACTGATCTTTAAAATACATGCCAAAAGAAGTGGAAATAATGTGGTTCCTAATCCATAATGGCCACAGTCAGAGATAACCAGTCAACGTTTTTTAGTATGTGCCCTCCTAGTCATATAAAAGTCTACAAACACACATAAATCACTACATATGTATTATTTTATAACTTTTCTTTTTGTGTTTAACATGAAGTAAATATTTTGGCTTGCACTAAATATTCTTTTGAAATGTCATTTTAATGGCTACACAGAATTCCAACAAATCGGTGCAATAATATCTCAATACGTCTACTTTCTTCCCTATTTTTGAACTTTCAGGTTGTTCCCTTCCTGGTATTACTAATATTGTATCAACAGCTATGAATATTTGCATGGCTAAATCTGTATGAAAATTCATGATGATTTCCTGATGATAAATTGCAAGAAGCAGAATTTTCAGGGGTTTCATTTGTAATTGGCAGAATCTTTTGGCAATTTAAAACAACTTTTGGGGTGGCATGAGATACAATACATGAAGATATGTTTTCCTTGGTCTTAGTTCATCATTTCTGACACTATTCACCCCATATCTGATTTTATATTTTCAGGGCTCATCAAAGCAGCTGTTCTCCAAGGAACCATCTCCTGAGCCCTCAAAGAGAGCAGGGAACTTGCCTCTCCTTCATTAAAAATAGCTCCATGGGTATTTCCAGCTGTTCTTTCATGCCCAGCTGGAGCAGTGTACATCTACAAAATTCTTTTTCTAGTAGCAAGCACATTTCCTAAAATGAATCTTGTACTCCACTACTTACAAATTCTTTACTGTGCTCATCCTTAAATAAGTGAAGAGTGAATGATTTATGTTTAAACTAACACAAACAAACCAACTTTGATCTTTTCAACCTTGTTCAATAAATATGAACTTCAACTTGCAAGAAAGGAATGAATAAAAAGCTAGCCTCTCTTTAAAAAAAGCAAAATGTCTCCAGAAGACTACTATAATTTTCTTTAAACATTTATCTCCAGTTGGTAAATAAAGTATCTAGAATTGCTATTTTAAAATGATAACCAATATGCAATCCTCTACAGACATGAGTGGACACAGAATAATATGGCATCTAACTGTCTACTTGGATTTTAAAATTTAGCTGAAACTATTCTTAGAAAATATACACTTTGGGCTCATAGTGATCACTTGAGTCATTAAATGGTTTGTGCATTTTGCTAATAAGGGCTATAAATTAATGAAAAGAGAATTTCTCATCCTATAGGACTAGTGCCACATTGTTTCTAGTAATGGCAAATACTCAGCATACTTTATAACTCAGTAGAGAAGGACTTGCAACCTTTTCCAAAAGGACCCCTGTGGGAGGGGTCAGAGGGTGAGAGGTAAGAATATAAGAGTGACTTCATTAAATTTTTTGAATGCCTATAACAAATGTCCCCTGGAACCAAAAATATCCCCTTCTAAGTGAAAGAAACAAAGAAACCCCACATATCCAAATTTCTTTTTGCTACTCCTTTAAGAACTTACATTTTCAACCTCCTTTTTAGCTATTTGAATAACTATTTTGTATGGATTTCCTGAAAACTATGAAATAATTTATCTTTTATGTTGTGTTTTACTAAGTTAGACCTATTTTCATGTATCCAATCATTAAAGACTTTTTATCTTCTAAAAATTTATTCATAAAAGGCTTTTACATAACTTTACAAGTTCACAGGAAGTTCCCAGTTACCACTTCGGAAGGTAACTGGGGACTTCTACACAAGTACGTGATAGCAAGAAATCCCTGTTTTCCTGTTTTACCCTCCCATAACATCCATGCAGCCAGACACTAATATTTAAGTTCTCTGCTGTTAAAGGAACATTACCATTGCTTATCTAACTTTCATGTTTTCACATTGAATATGCCTTAAATTTTCATGCTTTATATATGTATGCCTTTAGGATAACCAGATGCTCTTCTGAGTTCCTATCATGAGAATTTGACCTATAGACATTTTTCCAAAAAAGACATACAGATGGCCAACAGACACAGTAAAAGACACTCAACAACATTAATCATCAGGGAAATCAACCAAAACCACAATGAGATATTCCACACATGTCATAATGGCTAGTATCCAAAAGACAACAAATAACAAGTGTTGGCAAGGATATGGAGAAAAGGGGACCCTCCTATACTGTTGGTGGGAATATAAATTGGTTCAGCCACTAAGGGAAGCAGTATGGAGGTTTCTCAAAAAACTAAAAGTAGAAATATCATAGGACTCAGTAATTCCATTTCTGGGAATTTACTTGAAGAAAACAAAAATCACTAATTTGAAAAGATATATGTACTCCTCATTTATTACAGCATTATTTACAATAGCCAAGATATGGAAGCAACCTAAGTGTCCATTGATAGATGAGTGCATAAAGATGTGGTACATATGTACAATGGAATATTACACAGCCATAAAAAAGAATGAAACCTTCCCATTTGTGAAAAATGAATTAGCCTAGAGGGCTTTATGCTAAGTCAAATAGATCAGACAGAGAAAGATAAATACCATATGATTTCACTTACATGTGGAATCTAAAAAACAAACCAAACAGGCAAACCAAACCAAACCAAAACAGACTCATAAAGATAGAGAACAAATGGGTGGTTGTCTTATGGAAGGGGGGTAGGATGATGGGTGGAATAGGTGAAAAGGATAAAGAAGCACAAACATCAAATTATAAATTAGTCACGGGGATAAAAGTACAGCATAGGGAATATAGTCAATAATATTATAATATCTTTGTATACTGACAGACGGTAACTGCACTTAACATGGTGAGGATT